TAATGTTTTATTTAAATTGTTCTTCAATATGCATACATGCATGCATACAGTGTCGCACAAAACAAACTGGACAACTCGTAATACATACGACTGATGTGTTCATCTTCTGTGCCCTTAAATATCGTTTTATATATTTATAAGTAAATTACATAAAAATTAAGAAATATTTTTTATTATTAAAATCGCAAACTACCTAAAAATAAATTCCACTCATAAAATTTTTTGCAGTGAAAATCGCGCGTGTGCAATATTTACTGTGACAAAATATTAGGTGTAGTAAAAAGTAACCCATTATTTTTGCATAAAATTGAATGGTTTAATTTTTTCTTTTCGTATCTAGCCTTATTCAAATGGTTCCAAGCAGTTTTTGTGCAATCTTTAGCTTTTGGATACTCGAAATAGTGCTTACCAGACGGTCGGACTCGTCAATGTCCATGATCTTATCGACATTTTCGACAAACGGCTTTCCACTCCGTGCAACATCTTTTACATCAAAATTACCGGAAAGAAACCAAAATTGTGCATTATAAACTATAACAGTATCAGGACCATAAACTATTCACATTTTCGGTTGCTTGGCTTGCGTTTTCGCTCTCATCGAAGAAAAACTCTAAAATATAGCATATTTTTCCTTGCGGGTGTCCATTTTTGTTGAAAAAAAAATTCAATCAACCTATCACAAATTTGTCAAAAAAGTATTTTTTGTACAAAATGTCATCTTTCTAATGCCATCTAGCGGAACCCAATTGGACTTATGTAACGCGAGATACAGATAAATATCGCATCTATTGGAAAAATAATGGATTATTTTTTACTAGCTACATCTTACGAAGCAATCCACCAGAAACGTCCGGATTCTTGGAAAAACAAAAATTGGCTTTTGCATCACGATAGCGGCCCTGCTCACACATCGTTGCGTGTGCGCGACTTTTTGGACAAAAACAACACACTAATGATGCCACCGTATTCCCCAGATCTGGCCCCCTGTGACTTTTTCTCGTTCCCTAAACTGAAGAGGCCCATGAAAGGACGACGTTACGCTACGATTGACGAGATAAAGACGGCATCGAAGAAGGAGCTGAACGAGATAAAAAATTGATTTTTGAAAAAAACCGTTGGCACAAGTGTATAATATCTTATGGGAATTACTTTGAAGGGGACAAAAATAAATATTCATAAATAAATAAATAATTTTTGAAAAAAACACAAAATTCGCGATATTTTTTGAACCGTCCCATTTTGCCTTAGTAGGTGACGAAAATACCTTTAGTTGTTGATGTTGTGCATGTCAAATGCGAATTTTGAAAATTTTTGTACTGGATTTACGAAAACAACATCGTTTTCAACTGATCACGAGTGAATAACTGCGATGTACTGTAAATTATTGATTATTCAAGGAAAGTCCTGAAAACATTCAGTACAGTTGAAAAAAAATGTTATTAAAAATTACAAAAATGGTGTATTTCAAAAAGGTATTTGCAAAAAATTAGTGAATAATTCAACTGTTATAAATATTTTAAAGAAACTAGAAATGTCGAGGTCTAAATACCAGCGCGGAGAACGATCCGAAGCTCCAACATGGTACGAGCGTTCCCAGATACAGATAAAGCCGAGTCAAGGCCTACAACATAAAAGTAAGAGCACAGAACACAGAACAGAGCGATAAAGAGTATAAGTCGGTTAGAAAGTTACATGGGAGTCATTTATTTCCCGACTTAACCGTTTACAATTTCTCGACCCAAATTGTCAACGTAAATTTGTCTGTGACACAATGGAACACCATATTTTTTCTGATGAATATAAGTTAATTTGAAATATTCGGTTGTGATAAGAAGAGTTCATTGATTGAGAGTTCATACATTGATCTTCTATAATGTGTCGGTGCTTGTTAGCATGGCGGAAGTAATATTATGACATGGAAGTGTTTTCCTCTGATTGGGCATTGACCTTTGCATCAAATAAATGGCAGCATAGATCACTTTATATATGTATATATTCTTGAAAGTGTTATTTTTCGTTATGCGGCGAAGAATATACCACTTTAATGATCGTTTCCACACTGTTACGACTCAAAACACGCTTCGAAACTAAAAGAAAATTGGATCGCAGCTGAATATATATATATTAATATACTCAATCCAAATAAGAATATGTGGGAGATATTCTATAAGAGGATGGACAGAGAAAGGTATAGACGAGGACAGAAATAAACTATTTGAATCTGCAAGGGTATTCCACAGGAAGTCGTTCCAAATTTTATTACTTTCATGTCGGGGAGGTGCAGTGGCGTTATTCAAAAAAGGGCTGTGATACAAAATATCAATAATTAGTAATTATACCAAAATATTTTGTCGCACTGAACATTAAACGTGTTTTCTCGCATATAAGCCATGAAGTCCAATAATATTGGAAACCAGAGATGGTAATATCAATCCAATATGTTTTCACCGACACTGTACATAAACAGTGTGTTTGATTGGCTCATCATATCAGCAAGTTTGTTGTTTAAGTCTTTTGATTTATTCACAAGAGCTACTGTTCGACAATGCCACTATTTAATATATTTAAATTAGTAATTGCTATGTAATTAAGATTATTTTTCTGGAAATGATTACCAAATTTACCGGATGTTTAACTATATATATAATTATACTAATCAACGCAAGCACAAAATATGATTAAAGTTTTAGTAATCAATCGATTTATAAATATGAATCATACAAGATTTTAATGCGAAAACAAAAATTTTCAAACGTAGCATATTCTAGTCTATCAGCGTGGCTCGTCTAATTTCAATAAACTGAAAAACAAACATGATGAAGTTAAAAATTTTAAAAATATATTTGTGGCTAGATATATAAAATAATCAAAAAAAATTGATAATGCCAATAAAATTTCGTTTAGTTTTTGAGCAATAAAGCATATTTTTTTTGATAATGGTGTTTGGAATAAAATAGACAAAATTCAATGAAAACTTCTTTGGTAAAATTATGTAACTAGAGTTTATTCACCACTTCGTCCGCATGGAATTTGAAAATGTCTTTAACAAAGTTTTAAGTTGGATGTTTCAGATATATAATTTATGTTTTATAAAAATTTTATTTTATATGATACAGAAATTATTTTTATGTAGACAATATATTTTGTATTTCAGTGGAGTACTAGAACCACCAGGCAACTCTTTAAGCTTACTCTGAACCATTCTGTATACAACTTCTTATGGGGGAAACAACTTCCTAAGCCTTAAGAGCTTAGCCTTGAGCTTTTTTGTTATGATTATTGCAAATTATACTTTGATGAGAAACTATACTCTCTTCAATTCGAAGGGATAATGCATTGACATAAGCAAAATAATAATAATAAATGACGCTTTGTAAGCTTTTGGCCGAGCTCCTCCTCCGATTTGTAGTTTTGCGTCTCGAAGTTTTTCCAACAAATAGAGGGACCTATAATTTATACTAAGCAGACTCCAAACGGCTTATGGTTTTTTTCACAAGGAGCCTTTATTTCATGTCCGAAATACACTCGTCGGAGTGGACATTCCATGCCAAAGGGAGACCGTAATTAGAAAATTTAATATAATTTCATATTTAAATTAATTTTCTATAATTTTGGGATCTTAGTGGCACCGAATGTCACTCGGGTACCGTGGCCGCCATGAATCCTAGAAATAAATAAATTCAAGTTAAACCATTCTGGAATAAGGTAATAATTGCAGCTCCTAAAGGAGTTCGGTACGACCTTTATAGGAAAAAATTAGAGCTGGTTCCCGTCCCGCTTTTAACTTGCTAAATGTATTAGAGTTAAGAGTTGAGATCCGGGTAAAAAATTCGAAGTGATGGGAATTCCATTGTTATGTCGGCAATTTATTTGAGTACAGTGGCTCTTCAAAAATGAAGAAGCGAGGGTATGCTCCAAATGGTTTTGTAAGCCAAGCATTCACCCGTTAGGAACTGGCATGTTTCTGACGTTTCTGATGCTTTTAAGTGTCTATATAAGCAATATATGCTTTCGAGCATCATACAAAGCACCCCGAGTTTAGCATCTATTCGGTACTTTCAATTATTGCTTCACTGTCCACCGGAGAATCGCACTTACCTGATGACTGAAACCCATAAAGTCTAATTTTTACAAGTTTATATGGAGGAGCTGGCCTCTGATCTGTAGTATGCGTCTTGATGATTTTTCCTACAAATGCTATAACTTACAGTTTATTTGAAGCCACCTCCTTAGGACCGATGTATGGTAATGCCCACTGCTTACCACTTGGCTCAAAAGTATTGTACTAAAAAAGGTAAAAGAAATAATAAATAATAATAAATTTTAATAACTTTTACAGCAATAATCGGAAGTACGAAATACTACTAACCTTAGTAATAGATTTATATCATCAGAATTGTCAAATTGAAAATTTATTTGAAAAATTAAATAAGTATAATAAAAGGCGAATATTTTCTAGCCCATTCACTGTTCTATTCAAATATAAATTTTAAATAATAAATTATATTTAGTTAAAAATTTCCACACTTAATTTAAAATAACGGAATTAAAGTTTATGATTTTTACAGAATTCAAACGGAAGCAGGAAGCAGAATTTTGCAAATAATTCGTAAACTTATAACACCCCCGCAAAGAAGTCCAAAAAACTCAAAGCTCAAAGGTATGGGAGAGAGAGAGAGAGAGTGAGAGAGCGCGCCAGTTACAAAGCCAATGTGCTCAAAGCATTATATGCTGAAATAATGGAAAATTTCGAAAAATTTTTCAAAAGCTCTCAAATTAACTTTGCGAGACTCGCCGCCTAAACGAGTTAACTTTAAATTTTTTTAAACCTGTCACAACATAAGCCAAAGCTTGCAACTCCACCGAAAATGAAAGCGCTCAATATTTCACTCAAGAGCGCAAACGCTTATAATACAACATAACTATTTTGCGCATATGTGCATGCTTCATACGCTCTGCGATTTTACGGTATAAAATATAAATTTTTCAAAGAAAGTAAGTCATTTAAGTATTTGAGCTTGCGCATTGAAAACAAAAGTGTTAAAGTAACGGAATACAATTGTATTAACGGTTTAGTGTACTGCATATAAGAAACGAAAAGCATACATACATATACTGGTTATTTAACAGTGTAAAAAATTGAGAATTTGTGTATTTTTAGTGGTAAAAAAATTAATGCAAATATCATAAGAAGACATTTACGTAAAAAATACTAACAAAAAAAACATAAACAATAGAGAAAAACGTGCTTTATAAACAAATACAATACGTTTTCCGGTTCTTACAAAACTCAACTTTGCTCCAAGGAACGGAAAAGGCCAACACTTTAGTGCGCCTTAGTGGATACACATTCTTTGTCAGTCGCGAAAAATTGGAATAAATCACGAATAACAATGCAGTAAGTGTGAAATATTTATTTATTCAGTTAACAAATCTACTACTCAACAATCGAGCGGCGAAATAAAAATAATAATAATGAAGAAACAAAAAGAACAACAACAATACCAAAGAAGACTCCTTTGTGATGTTCACAAAGAAGGAGGTAGTATATTTAAGAAATGTATATATGTACATACATATAATATTATAAGTGTATATTTGTTAAGTTGTTGCCACTTTGCCAATAGTGGCAAAAATTACCATTGTGATTACGTTTGCGGTTGCGCGACTTACGACTTACGACTTGGATTGTGTCTGACTGAGGTTGTTGCAAAGTCAATTGTTGCTGCTGATTTTTGTGAGTCATGACAGGCCCAAGAGCATTTACTAATTGTCGGTTATTGTCTACTTTTCATGGCTGCTGTGCCCAGTTGATTCTACAATACCAGCACACACACACACTCACATACACACACACACACACACTCACATACACACTCACACACACATACACTGCACTGCAATTTGTACGTTTTTTTTTGTTTTTATTATTTTTATTGCCGCTAATGATGCTGGTTGCGCTGTTGGAAGTGATGCCAGTAATGTTGGCAGCATTTGCTATGCTCGTCTATGACCTATACTGCCCGCCCACCAACTCGACTGTCTACTAAACGAAGTATATTCTACTGCTTATCGGATAATCGTTTAGACAGGGAGTCAGCCTACATTGGTCATAAATTGCGTTTCGTTTAATTGTACGCTTTTTTGCTTGCACAGATATTTGTTTGATAAATGTGATTAGCTGGAAAAAAAATGATTTTGATATTTTGGACGTTTAATCAAAAGTGAATGACTTAATTAAATTTTAATTATTGGAAAATAGTTGGGCATAATTTTGTTTAATTTAAATATGTACATATTTTTCTTTTCAAATTAATTTTAAAAAAATTCTGAAACATACTTTTCATATGCTATTCATTCGTGTTTGAATTTATAATGTAAAATTGAAAGAAATAAGAATATTTGCAAGTGTAAATATGTAACAATAATAATATGAACCTCTTTGAAGTTGCTATCAGACAAAGTAATTAATTAATTTAAATTTTCATGTCAACATGACAAATTTCGAAATTTAATTTCAAGAGAAATCGGAAATTGAAATTTTTTCACAGCGAAATGGGGAAAAATAAAAATTGCGTAAAAATTGCTACATTTTTTTGGCACGTTAATCATTAAACATTAAAAATTACTATACTAAAATAAGATAAATTAAATTATATAAAATAAAATAAAATCAAATTAAATAAAGTAAAGCGAAATGAAACAAAATGATATAAAATAACAGCAAGTAAAAATAAACAAATTGAAAATATAAATATAAGGAAAAGAAATAAAACAATATAATGCAAAATTAAACAAAATCAGAAATGTAAATAACATTAAAACAAAAAATTAAATTAAGTTCAATAAAAAAAAATAAAAAATACAAAAAAAAAATGAATTAAAACGTTAGAAGATTCATGTGTCATATTACAGAAAGTATGTTACAGAAAAAAAAAATTTGAAAATAAAAATAGTGTAATATGCAACCAAAAATTTTAAGAAATTTTGAGAATATTGTTTTTATTGGATTGTTGATTATCGCATATTTTGAGTGTTCCTAATATAAAACTACCCGCCCTATATTTTCTTCATCACAACTGGTTTTGCGATAAAGAAAAGGCAATTTAAATTTTTTTAGAACTAATTAATCACTAGGGTTATCGTCTTAGTCTAGGAAAGGCCTGCTCGCCAAAATTTTCCACATAAATTCCATAGAGAATAAGTACACCCTCGTTGCAGAATTAAATTTGAACAAAAACAAAAAGGAGATATTTTTTTGTTTTTTTTTTTTAATGCAATCTATGGAAATTCCGAATATTTTTCCTACCATAGCATATTTTATGTTACATTTAATTTCTTGTTGTGTAATTACAGGGATATGGAAATCCATAGTATGCACAGTGGAGAATACTTCTATTGTTTTTCAGATGTTACGAGGTCATGATTGTTTTTTTTAACAGTTTTCACTGTCTACTCTATTCTGATTGCTGACTTTAAAGCATAGTTTTTTTTTAGATTTTTTTTGTTTACTTATTATTATTTTTTTTTTTGAATAAACAGACCGATTGACAAGAAGCGTCTTGTATGGAGCATTAAGTTTCACTTCAAGAAATTGAAAGTTGTGCAGCAAAACCCAAGTCTCTTATCAAATATTTTGTGAAAATAAATTCGGCTGATTCAGATTTGGTGTAAGAACTTTCGTTGACTCTTGGCACTTTTTTCTGCTGAACTAAGATCAAAAATTCAATAAAAAAGTTGTACTGGAATTTCTAGACAATCGGAGGTGTACTAACCTTCCTTAAGCTATTTAATTATATTTTTTTACATTCAAATCTCTTACACTCATACAGTAAAAGTACTAATATTTATGACTAGTTGGTTTCCTCCACATCAAAAGCCAATCAATCGGCAACAATTCTCTTTTGGTGTTTGGGTACTGTTTTAAATGTCAAAATAGAACAAACGAAAAGTTTGGTCTGCTTTTTAAAGATAAACTAAGTATGTGCTACCGACCAATCATATGCACTTTGCACATAAATTTCGTCAAATGTAACAAAGTGTATGCACATAATTTGGTCACTTTTTTCAAGTCATTCATTCTATTCTACTCAAGTCCAATTCAGTAATACGATTTTATTAACACTTAGTACTCAACATCATAATTTACGTTGAATTTCGTAAAGAGGAATGGAAGCCTCTGGCAGACACCAACTTAAGTTTTTAAACGAATTTATGTAACATAATTTCTTATTCCTTTATTATCCGAAATTTAATTTTTGAACATAAGTTTCCAATTCCAGTACCCTTAATACCTTTTCTTTCGCTTAAAAACATGCTTAAGGATGATATGAGTATTGTCATAGAAGATTTTTGATCAATTATTATGGCATAAGAATAATTTTCAAAATAAATTTATTTTCACAACCAAATCGGATTTAATAAATTACTATGCCCGGCAGCTCTTTGACGAAAGGATTGTAAGTAAAGGTTTTTTTTTTAACAAAAAACCGCTTAATTTGAGAAAATAACAGCCAAATAAAGCTTAATAGACCTTTTTAATGCGAATTTATAGTATAAGCACCCTGTATGCAGGAAATCTGTAATAAAATTGCATCATATAGTAATAGAAATTCGTTTAGAAATTTATGGTCGGGGAATTAATTTTTAATGATTATTTTTACCTAAAACTCACGAATTTTGGCCTTTTCATATAATTATTAACATTTTTGTATAGTGTTCCAATGAAAGGACATATTTTTACTGTTTAAAGAAGGCTGAGCAATTTATTTTTGATGTGTGCTTTATTGTGCTATGTTTAGGCTATGTTATTATGTTTATGTATAATACTTATACTATAATATTTTGGTCTTTTTGAAATCTGTTAATTCACATCGTTACTACTTTCAGCCTCACTCTGACTATCAATGCCATCATATGGTTCCATCATTGCCTATTTTCTAGCTCTTGTTCATCACTAGTGTCCTCTTCATTGTAGGTACTTCTTAGCCACCAGCAAAAACCTCCTATCATGAAATCTAGTTTCTTTCCTTTAAGTTCCTCGATGAAAACGTAGTAAGTTGTTGTTTAAACTGATCCACATGAAGAACTTTTTAAGCTCATGTTGACACCTAATTCTTTGAACGGTTTCAAGAGATCTTCATTTTTTCCTCTAATATCTCTTTCTAATCGATTTTGATAAATATTAACATGAATATGTGTGATTTCATCGTTTACTGATATTTAAAGAGTTATTTGATTCTGATCCAAAGATGTTTTAAACTATCTTTCAGTAAACTCTGAATATCTGGGCCATTAAACATAACTGAGAAATTAATTAAAAGATTGACAATACATACATAAATAAAATAATTTATTTTATTGGTAATAATATATATTTATATTAGTTTGAATATGTAATACAAAGGTAACACGAAGTCGTGGAAATTTTCACCGCAATGTATTATTAAACCTGATATGAAGTAAAGGTAGTAACACTTTATTCGTTGTTACAAGTGACTTGTGCATAATATTAGCTGATCCCATATCGAAATCGTCTCTTTTCCCTCCCAGGCTTTTGGTATTGCTTTTCTTAAGAACGAGTGTTCCATAAACAAATGAAGCACTGGTTCTTCGCATATAAACTTTATAAAAAAAAAGCCAAAATTTTATATACTATTTTTTCCTACCCTGACTGGTATTTTTTATTTTATTATTTTAAGGTTTTCACTACCAAATCAAAATTTTTCGTTTATAAATTCAATAATTACATTTTGCACATAATTTGATTAATATGTTACTAACTTTACCTTAGCAAAGATTATTTAATTAAGAAAATGTGTTCAGTTTCCTGTGGCAAAATTAAATTCATCTACTTAATAGTGGTGAATTTCTCATTCAATATTTGAAACAATCCGTTGCCCTTTCATTAAAACTGTAAACCTCTAATTTACACAATAACTGAAATTAAAGCAAGACAAAAAAAACTACATACTTAAATTCACTTATTCGGCACTAACAACAACTCAATAAAGCGAGTACCCGTACATGACCGCATACTTGCATTTGGATTAGTACCTACATGCATATTTTTATGTATGTCTGTGCCTGATAATTGCGTTACTTCTTTTGGTTGGCAACCAAATCTTGCTGCATTCGGCAAAAGGGGGGAAAACCGTTATTTTCATATATTGTATACAACATTTGATTATGTGTGCAATGGTATTTTATCAACGACCTTCAATTTGATGCCAAATATGCGTGCGAAAAGTGTTCGGTCATAGTAACAGTTTGTTTGTATTTGTTGCTACGTTCGAAATTGGGTTAAACATTTGTACATGTCTAAAAATGCTTACACAAACAATGATAGATATTTTGTAGTTCATAACGGCAAATAAATTATCATTAAACGTTCACAAT